CTCAGCTACTGCCAATGAATAGACAAACACGAGGAAAGGTAAATTGGATCATACCTTCAATTCTTCGATAGGATGGTGTGTAATCGGGAAACCTTTATCCCGAACAAGACGAAACGAATTCCACAGTTTCTGTCCTTGGCTTCCGCGTCTATCACGCAACAAGCCTGAGTCGAAGCATTCAGAGCATTACCGCTTGATCAAATTGAACTCTTACGATGACGAGCCCCCGAGCTGGATGTGGTCCTTCGGTTCGGGGGTGCAGGCGCAGACGAGCTCGGGGACGACGCAGACGTAGAGGGCCGGCCAAGGCCGAGTGCGAACGAGTTTGAGTCTGCGCGTGGGGGGAAGGCCCCGGGGACCAAGGACGCGGGGACAGCGCTCGGGTTCGAGCTCGCTGGGCCTGGTCTCGATGCGGACGCGCCGCCGGGCACTAAAGACGCGGGGACAGGGACAGGGACGGAAGGTGCTGCGCTCGAGCCCGAGCTCGAGAGCGAGAATGTAGAGGCTGAAGGTGGCGGCGACGAAGCGAAGGAAGAGGACGGCGAGCCAGAGACAGAGACAGGCGAATACGCATGCGGGTCCGCCGCACGCGCCGCGCCGGGGGGGCGTGTGCCCGGCCCCGTGCCCACGGGGTACACCCACGCGTCCCCGCTCGCACTCGTGCGGCTCGTACTCGTCGCGGGATACGTATACGCGCACTGCGCGTCGCTGGCGCTCGTCGTCGGCAGCCCGCTTATATGCGCCCCGCTGCGGGGCAGCGCGGGCAGGCCCATCGTCAGCGTCATAGTCGACCCCGGGCCCGAGGCGGCGGAAGAGTAGGAGAAGGCGGATGCGTACGAGGAGGTCGCGGAGAAGGTGGACGCAGTCGCACTCGCACTCGTCGACGGGGAAGGGGGGGTATTCGGATGCGGATGGGAAGAGGGAGAGGGAGTGGCACCGGTATTTAAATTTATCGACATAGCCGTATGTGACGCAGTCGAATTCGAATTTGGATTTGGATTTTGTGAATGGGTATGGGCATGGGTATGGGTATGAGAATGCGGCGGCAGCACAGTCGCGGTCGACGCCACGGAGAGCACAGAGGACGGCGCGGTCGCGTAGATGGTGGAGGGTGTGGGGGACGGGTCGGCGTCGGCGTCGGTGTCGGTATCCGTATCAGCGGTTACTGTAGAAGGGGGGTCCGCCCCCTCATGAACACTACTCGGCCGCGACCAGTTGCGCCCTTCGCCCGCCGTCTGCGACCGCGTGCGGCGCAAGGGCAGCGGTGCGGGCTCCATCGGCGATATCGGCGTCGCCGGGGTGAAATTCAGCGCCGGATTGGCCGTGGCGAGCCGAGGGGGCGGCGGCGGGGCGCGCGAGGGCGGGGGCGGGCGTGCGGCGCCGATGTTGCCCTCGCTCCGGCGCGCGATAAGGTGCTGCTCGCTCGCGGGGCTGTCGCTCCCGTCGCTCTCTGGGTCCTCCCCCCGCGCGTCGGTGAGCCCGAGCCCGAGCCCGAGCATGGGCGTGGACATGTACGGCTTCGCGGAGGCGGCGGCGGCGGATGCGTCCATGGAGTACGCGGTGCGGCGCATGTACGGACCGCTGCAGCACGCATGGTTAATTGGAAATTAAATTAAATTGGGCATGGCGACGGCGACGCACGGGTCCTGCTGCGGGGCACGGCCGGAAAAGACCTTGTGGAAGAGCTTGCTTGCGCGGAGGTGGAACGAGGACTGGGTGCGGGTGTGTGGCGGCTGCTGCTGCATGACGGAGCTGGGGCGCGGACGGTCCACCATGCCTAACCTTTGTAGCCACCTTTGTAGATATAAAATGCGAGTGTCGCTTTCGTGTGCGTGGTCTGAACGACTATCTTCAGACTTCACGTCCAGTACATGAGAGGGGCTGAAATGAGCCTAATTCGACGCTTGGACCGAGAGAAACACAAAAAGTATTACCCACACGATGCTGAGTCATTCAAGCCTGCTCCATCCCGTAACACGGCTCTTTGCGGACTCTCGTCACCTCCCCCCAATGCACCCGCCCGTCGATCGATATTAACGTTGAGCAGACAATCCCGCACGTTTCATCGCCGTTCCACCCGCTCGTCGACGTTCAACAGCAGTTCAACAGCAGTTCATCGATCCTGCCGCGCATGCCCAGCTCCAAGCTGAACCCACGCTCGCACCGCGTACCCGCTTCTCGCCGTCCGGTGTATTCTTTAATCTAGCCTGACGTCGCCGCGCGGTCATCAATCTGCATTGCTTCAACTGCGGAATCTATTCTGGGTTAGCGCCAATGGACGCTACGATAAAAATACAGTTCCCTCGAACAAAAGACTCTGTATCAACGTCGCCCCCATACACCAGCGGGGAATCGAACCCCGACTCGCCGTGCGAATATCACGATAACGTCAATTGGCCGGCGCGTGTACCACACACCACTGGTCTCTTCTCTTCTCTGCAACATCTCACTAAGTGAGTTCTGAATGGATAATAGACTGCCGTCCGAGTCAGCCTGCACCTGGCCCTCCGGTGAACTCGGTGGCAAGATATACTTACCTACCTACCTACCGCGCTCTTCACCTCCATCCTCTGGTTTTTATCGCAAAAAAGCCACTTTTCATCACCCACACACCAGCGGGGAATCGAACCCTGACTCGCCGTGGTAAGTTCATGATCTTAGAAAATTAGCCCGGCGCGTGTACCACACACCACTGGTGTTTCTCTTCTCTTCTCCTCTGCAACATCTCACTGAGTGAGTTCTGAATGGGTAATATAGTAATATCTTGAGCTGGCTGGTTGTCAATAATCTACGCTGCCTGCAACTACGTCCTCGATCCTTGTTTGCTTTTGCTTTTTCTCGCAAAAAAACATCCTGATTCCAGCGCCACACACCAGCGAGGAATCGAACCCCGACCCGCCGTGGACTCTGATTAGACGCTGGTCCCTACTATTCGGTCGGCGCGTGTACCATACACCACTGGTGTTTCTCTTTCCTGTACTGTACCCGTTTAGACTGGGCTGTCCGATGTCACATGTATTGCCTCCACCTGTTCCAACTCCCTAGTCGTGCTCTTGTCTCTAAATCAAATCTAAATTTCCTCACAACCCAAGCCCAACGGGACGACACTGGGAAAAAAAAATTCAAAAGAAAAAAAGCAGTCGATGCATGCGTGTTGCACGCACTGGCAGGGAATCGAACCCCGATCCGCCGCCGCCTATTTGGATGACGTCTAAACGAACCAGCGGGTGTACCATACACGACCAGTGCTTTCTGCAGCTTTATTTGAACCTGGCCAGATGAGATGAGATTACTCGGAGTCAGTCAGTTCAGGGGGGCCGATACTCCATATACTTTCCTTGCACAAAGTTTTGTCTTCAAGTTCAAATCAAATCAAATCCAATTTCCTCACATTTCGGTCTAACCTAACCTTGAACCTGGAACTCGAATCGGGGAGAAAAAATTTTTAAAGGGCGAATGCAAGTATGCCAGATGCGCTGGTGGGGAATCGAACCCCGATCCGCTGTGGCCAAGATGAGGAACAACGCCAATGAGCCAGCGGGTGTACCACACAACCAGTGCTTGCTACAGCTTTATTTGAACCCAGCCAGGTGCGGTGCGGTGAGTCGGTTCAGGGGAGTTGAGTTGATGCTCTGTATACTTTACCTACACAAATTAAATCCTTGTCTCCAAATCAAATCGAACCCTTTTTCTCCCAACCCAACCCAGTTAAACCAAACCGGGAGTTGAGCTTTAAAAAGACGAAAAGAAAAAGCTGCTTTCTACGCAGATAAGTACACTGGCGGGGAATCGAACCCCGATCCACCGTGGACAAGATATCAAGAGAACACGGACTAAATGAGCCGGCAGGTGTACCATACACAACCAGTGCTTTCTATACCTTTATTTGAACCTCACCTGGCCAGGTGAGGTGACTCAGAGTCAGTCAGTTCGGGGGAGTCAATACTCCGTATACTTACTCACACAAATCCTTGTCTTCAAATCAAATCAAATCCGATTTCCTCACATCTTGGTCCAACCTTGAACCGGGGCCTCGGATCGGGGAGAAAAAATTGAAAGGGCGAATCCAAGTATGCTCATGCGCTGGTGGGGAATCGAACCCCGATCTACTGTGGCCAAAACACGGAATACCGTTTAATGAGCCAGCGGGTGTACCATACACGACCAGTGCTTTCTACAGCTTTATTTGAACCCCACCTAGCCAGGTGCGGCGGGGGTGAGTCCGTTCAGGGGAGTTGAGTTGGTACTCTGTATACTTTACTTGCACAAATTGAATCCTTGTCGCCAAATCAAATTGAACCCATTAATATTTTGAGTCTCCCACCCAACCCAATTAAATCAAACCATTGAACCAAACCGGGAATCGAGTTTTAAAAAATGAAAAGAAAAAGGCGCAGCCTCCACAAATATGTACACTGGCGGGGGATCGAACTCCGATCCACTGCGGCCAAACATGTTCATAGGTGAATGAGCCAGCGGGTGTACCATACACAACCAGTGCTTCCTACAGCTTTATTTGAACCTGGTGACTCGGAGTCAGTCAGTTCAAGAGAGTCGATCCTCTGTATACTTACTTGCACAAATCCTTGTCTTCAAATCAAAAAATCAAATCAAATACAATTTCCTCATATCTCGATCCAACCCAACCTTGAACCGGGGACTCGGATCAGGGAGAGAGAAAAAAGGGGCGAATGCAAGTTTCCACCAATACACTGGCGGGGAATCGAACCCCGATCAACCGCGGACAAGATGAGAACAACTCTAAACGAGCCGGCAGGTGTACCATACACAACCAATGCTTTCTACAGCTTTATTTGAACCTCAGAGTCAAGTTAATTCCGTGTAAGTACGTCTTTGGTAAAGCTTACTTCCAATTCAACATGTTCGTTCGCCGGCGTAGCTCTCGTGATTAGCCTGTTGGGACGATAAAAATGTATACCACCGGGACCTTTTTTCGTTCCCTCGAACCAAAAAAACTGCTCTTACTCTCACCGAATATATACACCAGCGGGGAATCGAACCCCGACTCGCCGTGGTAATTCCATGCATCGATTTATATTAGCGGGCACGTGTACTACACACCACTGGTATTCTTCTCTTCTGCAACACAACATCTCAATGAGTACTGAGCAATGCTGAATGGTAATACATCTTAAGCTGGTCGTCGCCGCCTGCAGCTACGTCCTTCCGATCAACTCCGCAGCAAGCCGCACCTCGATCCATTTCAAAGTTTGTTTGCTTTTGCTCTTCCTCGCAAAAAAAAAACCATGGACCGGCTCTACACACCAGCAGGGAATCGAACCCCGACCCGCCGTAGTAATGTTATGATGAGGCTGTTCAAATTAGGCGGCGCGTGTACCACACACCACTCCGTGCAAGAACACAGCCGTAGGATTACGACCCAGAAGTAATGACTTGGAGTATCGGACGGTACAGTGACCGTAAAATTACAGTCATTACGGTGATATGGTCGTGTCAGGGGTGGAAAAAAATGTGGTGCTTCGTAATAATATAATACTAGTAAAAGAAGGCGGTATCGTCGAGAGCGTCTAGAATAAAGAGTATGTTATGGCATAAAAGCTGATGGTCCGAAGACGCGTCTGGCACTCGTCGGAGGTAACTGTGCCACTCACTGTGAGACACATTAATTTTGGAACGGAAGGGGATTGTGCCGAAGATGCCGCGGCGATTTATGGCTCCACAAAACTCGACTTTTATTTTAATCAAAAGTCCCCACGAAATCAAACTTATCAAAGTGATACCGGCTGCTAATAACCTCTCTCGCAACTCCATTTCGTCCCCAAGCCGTGATGCCGTAAAGACGGCCGTAACGGCTCCATAGACATGGTCAACACGGCTCATTCGCGAGCCGTGCCCGTACCGCGTACGAAAGACGCGCGAGCTCAACGCGAGCTGCATGGTGACGGGACCGTGACCGTAATACGGTACCGTATTCCGTGCTTACACGGTTACGGTTGCCAGCCCTAAGCGGTGGCAGATGATCCAGGAACCGATCACATTGGGATTTCCCATACGTCGGAGCATAAAAAGCGAGTGCATTGAAAGGACACTATCCCGCTGCCGTTCGGGTCCGACTGAACGCCGTTAGGGGTTGATTTGAGCAGCATCCGGGTGATTCACCAACAACCGCTGGAGGGATGTATCTAAATTAGGTTAATACGAAGAAAGAAGACTGAGGGCTTCCGTTCTAAATCTGTAGATGAATGGAAGGATACCAGGCAGTGGTGGCAGATCCAGAAACCGATCACACCGGGATTTCCATTGCGTCGGAGCATAAAAGGCCAGTGCATTGAAGGACACTATCTCGCTCAAAATGCCCCAGCCAGCTGTCATTCAGGTCCGACTGAATGTGGTGACCACAAGCTTGACTATAACTGCAAATACTTTAGAAGTCCTAGCAGATACCCTCGACACCCCCTTCTTAGGTGCTATTGTGAACACAACTCGAGCTGTCTTGAAAAACATTGAAGTGAGTCCAAATCTGTGGGAGACACAAATCTAAACTCATCCCGGCAGACAGTAAAACAAAACAAAGATGACTGTGTTGAGCTCCTGAAGCAAACCCAAAAATTTCTCACTGTCATCATTATTCTTTATATCAAGTCGGAAACAGGTGCAGAACTGCCTCCAAATGTACTGGACCATATTGGAAAATTCACAAAGTACTTTTCTTACCTTGTGAACACTCGGCGCACTGACCACTGGATCAGAATCCTTCACAAAATACATAACTTCATTGAGGCCCACCAGAAAGGCAGCAAAATCAGATCTTTCTTCCGCCAGAGTGAATCAAGTGCACTACTGAAAGAGTGCAAGGTTGGATTGCAACAAGGCCTTGAGTTCTTTCAGGTTTACCATCTTACTGGGCCACCGCCATTGACTGATGAATGTCGGTTGCAGATTGAATCAGCCATAATTCTACCCAGTGTTGCAGAGATGGAGAAGGATGCACAGAAGCGACACCAAGAAGTGCTTGACATGATTGAGACTCTATCTGAGAACACTGTTACAGAACGAGGGTCCATGGTGAAGAATGCAGTTGTTTCACCAGATTTACATTAATTTTTCCATAGATAAGCAGACCCTATTCTCAGTCCTACAGTAGGTATGTGACATCCCAGGGTACCTGTGTGATAGCTCAAATTTTGTCTTCAAGCTCCAACTCCATCTCCATGCTACCATCTGAGCCAAAGATCTTCCATGGCCGCAACTCAGAAGTTTCAGATATCCTTGAACTTTTCAAAAGCAGAACTCCGAGGATTGCTATTTTGGGTGCAGGTGGTATGGGCAAAAGCTCTCTTGCCAAAGCTTTACTGCATCATCCAGCCATTACAGTCATGTATCAACAAAATAGGTTCTTTGTGGGTTGCAACTCTGCAACAACCACACTGGAACTTGTTACCCTCATCAGCACTCATATTGGACTCAAGCCGGGCAAAGATCCTATCCAGGCAGTCCTCAAACAGTTCTCCAACAGTCCCCCAAGTCTCCTCATTTTAGATGAACTTGAGACATTGTGGGAGTCCACAGAATCTCGGGGAGATATTGAAGAATTGCTGTCACTCCTGACAGGCATCAACCATCTGGCATTGATGGTGAGTGGATGGGTGTGTGTTCCAATGATTGTTTAGTCATACCATATCAGATCACTATGCGCGGGGCAGAAAGACCAGCAAAGGTGCAATGGACACGGCCATTTTTGTTGCCCTTGAAACCTTTAGACCAGAAAGCTGCACATCTTGCATTTATCGATATTGCAGATGATAAACATGACCTGGACGAGGTTGACAAAATCCTCTCCCTCACAGACAATATGCCACTTGCACTTAATCTCCTTGCCCACCTTGTTGACTTGGAGGGCTGCTCCAATGTGCTATTGCGGTGGGAGAAAGAGAAGACCTCAATGATCTCAGAAGGCTTTGACAAAAGATCCAACTTAGATCTATCCATCTCGCTGTCATTGTCCAGTCCCAGGATTAAATTGCTTCCACAATCCCAAGAGCTCTTGAGCCTCTTGGGAATGCTGCCAGACGGCCTTTCAGATGTGGATCTAGTACAAAGCAAACTTCTGCTTGAACATCCCCTCAAATGCAAAGCAGTATTGATGTCTACTGCTCTTGCTTACAGTGATGAAAATAAACAGCTCAAAGTGTTAATGCCCATCAGAGAATATATCCAGCAACATCAGTGCCCTGAAGCTCAGCTGGTCCATACACTTCTCAAACATTTCCAGGACTTGCTCCACTTTTATGTGGAGTATAGGGGAACTCAGTCAAGTGTCAGCACAGTCAACCACATAGCATCCAATATTTCCAACATCCAAAATCTACTTCAGTGGGGGCTCCAAGAGAAGCATTCAAACCTTTTGGATAACATTCATGGTGTATGCCACTTGAACCGATTCCACCGGGCCACCAACGCGGGGAGTTCTCATCTCATTGGTGAGATACATCATCTACTTCCACATCTTGGAAGTCAACAACTTCAGCTTTATGTGATTACTGAGTTGTTTTACTCGTCAAACTACCCGGTCCTTGGTTCAGAGGCCCTTATATCTCAAGGGTTGGAATATTGTGAACATATTGATGATCCAAAACTTAAATGTATGTTCAATGCTCAATGATCATCTATTATGACTCATGTGTACTTTCAGGTCTCTTCTATTCGGGCACAGCACGCTATTTTCTTGAAACCAAGCATGATCTCCTAGAGGCTGCCAAAATGTGCAACAGAGCTATATCATTGGGGATTTCAACTGGGTACATTAAAGGACAGGTCCAGGCATTGTGCCTCCTTGCATGGATCAAGTTTTTACAGGGTGAACATTTCAAAGTTCAACTGTATGCACAACAAAGTCAGAGATTGGCAAGAGCATCTGGGGATTTGATTGGTGAGGCAGATGCGGCTCGTCTGGAAGCCATTTTCTGGCAAGAAGTAGGTCACTACAAGCAGAGTTTGCAGCTGTGTATTCGGGCAAGGGATCTTCTTGCTCTCTGTGGTATGTCTACAAGTGAGGCAAACTTTGCCATCATGAATACTCAGGCCGAGGTCCACAAGTGTAAATCAGAATATAGCAAGGCCCAGGATATTCATACCAATATACTTCAGAATGTCTCAGTGAAACAGAGTCCCTACCGCCATGCATTTGCATTGCTTAATGTTGCTGAAATCAGATTGTTAATGGGGGTCCAAATTGATTTTATCCAAAAGGATATTGATTGTGCCCAATCAATCTTCAACATGTTTGGATTCAAGAAAGGTGCAAAAGCTTGTGATGCTACACTTGCAGCACTGTATGTCAGGGAGAAGGATTTTCTGCCAGCAAAGCTACTGTTGGAAACAACCCTCAAATTAAACCTGGACTATGTAACTGAATCCTTCTGTCTTGAATGGTTAGCCAATGTCAGCCAATGGGGTGCTGCATATTCAACGGTCAGATGGACCACTGTATTTCTGGCACATTCTGTCAAGCATAAAAAGAACCTTCAAGTTTATAAAGCCATACAATTTTTCGGAGACCTGTTCCTTACTCAGGAAGATGAGGACAATGCCTTCAACTTATTCACTGTTGCCCTTGAGGGTTTCACCTGCATGGATGTTCACTGTAGCAGAGCGGAATGCATGCTGAAACTGGGGGACATATCCAAGAACCATGGGGACCTGCAAAAAGCAATGGAGCTCTGGGATACTGCAAGGCCACTCTTTGAACACTCATCACAAGCTCAACAAGTGGAAAATATTGATTGTAGGATTGCTGGCATGAGCCAAGAAATACAACTCCAGCACAGGGAGAACTTAGCAAAGTTGGCACACCTAAATGCACCCTCAGGCATGGTGGATGAGGTCAAGAATGATCAGGCTGACACTGAAGACCTCAAGAACATGTCAGATGATGAACAAAGAGTAGCAGATGTGGTTGCAGTTTGAATGCTTTCGAAATGAGAACATAGGGAATTCCACATATGGATTTGTACTCTACCTTTTATGTTACTGGGATGTGGGTATCTATGTTTAGCTGAATGTGAAATAAAAAAGTTTATTTATTTATTTGAAAGAGATGTTAATTGAAC